TGGCTTCTTGTTGTTGCTTCAGTTGTTGTTGCTTCAGTTGTTGTTGCTTCAGTTGTTGTTGCTTCAGTTGTTGTGGCTTCCGTTGTTGTGGCTTCAGTTGTTGTGACTTCAGTTGTTGTGGCTTCAGTTGTAGTGGCTTCAGTTGTTGTTGCTTCAGTTGTTGCTGGTGGTGTTGTTGTGGCTTCAGTTGTTGTTGCTTCAGTTGTTGTTGCTGCTGGTGTTGTTGTTGTTGTTGTTGTGGCTTCAGTTGTTGTTGCTGGTGTTGTTGTGGCTTCAGTTGTTGTTGCTTCAGTTGTTGTTGCTGGTGTTGTTGTGGCTTCAGTTGTTGTAGCTTCAGTTGCTGTTGCCTCAGTTGTTGTTGCTTCAGTGGTTGTTGCTTCAGTTGTTGTGGTTTCAGTTGTTGTGGCTTCTGTTGTTGTGGCTTCTGTTGTTGTTGCTTCAGTTGTTGTGGCTTCAGTTGTTGTTGCTTCAGTTGTTGTTGCTTCAGTTGTTGTTGCTTCAGTTGTTGTTGCTTCAGTTGTTGTGGCTTCAGTTGTTGTGGCTTCAGTTGTTGTTGCTTCAGTTGTTGTTGCTTCAGTTGTTGTTGCTTCAGTTGTTGTCGTTGGGGTTGTTGTTGCTGGGGTTGTTGTTGTTGTAACAGCCTCACAATCTAGACCACTGTCGATGCTTCCACCTGGACCATCGTACGCTTGTGAACAATCTGGACACTTCCATCCTGGATTACAGTGACAGTTGCCGTTCTCATTACAGACCTGTTGAAAGTGAACACGAGAGTCAAATTACCTATGCTCACCATCAAGGATATGAGGTAACGGTTAAAACACTTACCCCATTTCCGTTGCAGTTACTCGCACAAGTTGGTTGTCCAGGATAGGCAACTGAAAGTGACACACACTCATTGTTTTGACAAACCTACACAAAAAAGCCAACAAATAAAGTCAACACTGCCTGGTAACGTCCATTGAAATCCACCAATTTTTTTAGATAAGTCATACTAACCATTTCGTCTCCACATTTTGTCCCATCTAGGACGGTCCCCAATTCTGGTGAACCCGGTGCCTGATAGGTCATCACAGATCTATAAGCGGACAGTATACATTGTATTTTCGAAACTTTCATAAGCGAAAACCTCCTGTAACCCGACACCACGACGCAATCCCGAGGGTGTCTGCTTTAGGAAAGCTCGACTGCGTACATGCAAAAAATTGTGACTTACCGACATATGATTGATCCAGAATTTAACGAAAGAGTACTACTTCTCCAACCATAACCAAAATTTTTTGGTGTTATCGTGTTGTTACCAACACAATATAATTTTCCACACTGAACGTTCCTGAAAAATATTACAGTGTTCTCATCATGTCATGGGGACAGTTGCACATATAGCTTAGGGGTCATCCGTAATCACCACAAGCTTTCAAAGAGTACTATTCAGCAGTATAGCAACTTACTCAGCTGTGCAAGCCACATATGATGTGGACGAAAGTTTTTTGCAATAACCATGTTCATCACCACGTGTGTTTCCATTTTGGTAACAAGACTCATCCGCTTTGAAAGCACCTAGATGCAAGCACACAACAGCACTTTTAAGCTGATCCTAAAGGCGAACAACAAGAACAACATAAAACCTGGCATAACAATATTATCTTGTCACGATTCAGAGATCGGAATGATCCTTGCATTTTGATTGTTTTCAAAAATCTACGATTCTTCGTGCCTACCATTTGCGAAATGAAGATTTTCCATCTCCTTTTCATTGTTTTGAAATTCCCAATGTTCTCTATATACCATTGAGTCACCCAGTGTTTTGACTTATATTGCCATTTAATATGCAAAGGTTTTATGGATTAACGCATGCACGCGAAGCACATGAAAAATCATTATCCACTTTACAAGTTCAGGAAACTAAATCAGATACCAACCGCCAGTCCATAATTCAACACATTGATCACCATAAGTTCTACATTCCCCTTCGTGACAAGATCCCTATAGAAGAAAAAGTTACAAACGTTATGGAGTGTTTATGGCTATTTGAAAATACCAGTTCTGAAGATAAACCACCTACTGCCCCGGAATGCACCAATATACAAAGGTCTAACTAAGGTCTAACTACCTGATTATTATCACATAATGTTCCATTTGCCGTCAGCAGATCGGCAGGACACTAAAATATGACAAAGAATAGAAATTTAGTGCTGGTGCGATGTTAAACAAAACTCGTTGGGCTCGATTCTCGTTTGCGGCCAAGTGGTTGCATGTGGTATTCAGAATTGAAATTAATTTTTCACCAAATGATTGGACTCGATGAAAACCACAAGCTACCATCGCTATATACCATGCTGAGGACAGTATCATGACGTCAACGCGGACAAACATTTAATGTGATGTTAGGACAGTAAGTAGCGACGTATCGCAAAAGAAATGATGATAGTTTTGTGGTGTCTCCACAAACAAATATGTTTTATCGCCATGCAAGCGTACAAATAACTTAATAGAAATGATGTTATATTGATTCGCTCAGCAATGATTTGCATTACCAATAGACAATTCCCATTACACACTAATTTTAAAACTAGGCAAGGAGATGCAAATAAATCACCACAGCTAGAAAGAGCATATACCAAAATCAGTAAAATTACAAAGTTTGGTTGCGAAATATTGGAAAATGACGAAAATATAGCCTTGCAAAGTTCGCAAATTTGGTATACTTTTGTATTGCGTGCGGAAATTCCTACCAAGCAATTTCCGCACGTAATACAAAAGTATACAAAATTTGCAAATGGATGAAATTCGCTGGATGTTGAAAGATGATGAAATTTGCTGGATGTCCTGCGTATAACACTCACCGTTTCACTTTCCCCATTACAATACTCTGGAACATCACACGAGTTTACAGCTTCACGACAAACTGTCCCACTGGCGATAAACTAAAAAAACAACAGAGCATGACGCGTAGGAATACAACCTACGGAATTCCCAGCAAAGGGCCTTAATTTTCGCAACTGCTCCCGGTTAAAAATGTATAATTTCAGACTCGATATTTCTATCTAGAAAAGATAAAATCGATTAACCAAATTTTAAAGGGTCAGTTAAGGCTAGAGTCAAGACGAAAATATTGGTTAATATATACAAATAAGATCGTTTTTTCACATGCATTCGTGTCATTATTCCTTCTCTAATACAAATTCATTCATCTCTAGTTATATTGCATACAACAGTATACTCATTCTGTACCTGCGAGTTACTACAGCAAGCTCCGCTCGCACACTGGACTACACCAGTTGTTGTTGTTGCTCCAGTTGTTGTCGCTTCGGTTGTCGTTGTTATCACCTCGGCTGTTGTTGCTGGTGTTGTTGTTGTTGCTGGTGTTGTTGTTGCTGGTGTTGTTGTTGCTGGTGTTGTTGTTGTTGCTGGTGTTGTTGTTGTTGCTGCTACTGTTGTTGCTCCTTCAGCTGTTGTTGCTGGTGTTGTTGTTGTTGTAACAGCCTCACAATTGAGACCACTGTCGATGCTTCCACCTGGACCATCGTACGCTTGGGAACAATCTGGACATTTCCATCCTGCATTACAGTGACAGTTGCCGTTCTCATTACAGACCTGTTGAAAGTGAACACGAGAGTCAAATTAGCTATGCTCACCATCAAGGATACGAGGTAACGGTTAAAAAACTTACCCCCTTTCCGTTGCAGTTAGTCTCACAAGTTGGTTGTCCAGCAAAGGCAACTGAAAGTGACACACACTCATTGTTTTGACAAATCTACACAGAAAAGCAAAATCAATGCTGTTTACAAACCTGGACTTCTCTAGAATGTGTCTCTTATAAACACTTGATTAGTGATATGATCCGTTGGAGAAAGCTGGAATTGGCTGAGAAAAATGGCATGAAAACTTTTTACGATTTTTATAGATTTTGGACGCCCATTTCCGCCATCTTGGTTTCATTTTTCTCACAACTGCAGTCCCTACATAATTATATGCAATTAACTGGTCAGTAGCCATACTAACCTTTTCGTCTCCACATTTTGTCCCATCGTATACAGTATCCAGTGTGGGTAAATCTCCAGCCTGGTAGATCATGACAGAGCTTAAAAGTTCAAATTAAACCGCGTAATCAGGCATTGCCCAACTAGCTACTGTATATAGAAATATTGATAATTTGACATATATGTAAAAAGCTTTGGACTTACCGACAAGTCACTCCACCACCTAAATTAGCGGTACTAAATCTAAAACCAGAGCCAAAATTCTTTGGCGTTATTGTGCTGTCACCAATACACATTAATTTACCACATTGAACGTTCCTGAAAAAATTTTTACAATGTTTTCATCGTGTCCTGGAAACTGTTGTACGAATAGCTTAAGAGTCATTCATGATTATCAACATTTTCGCATAGAGCACTCTTTTATGATTACATTTTTACATCAAGTATTACGCTTACCTAATTCCATACTTGCGCCCGTATTCTAAAAGCTCACTCACACTCACACTCAATGAGTAGAGGTTAAATCTGAGCTTCTCTCGAGTCCCATTGCTGTTTTTGAATAGCTAGAGAGCCAGTGTCGTACCTTACTATGTGATTACTCACCCTATAGCTATTCAAAAACAGCATGGACTCTCAAGAAAAGCTCATATTGAACCTCCACTCATTGAGTGTGAGTGAGCTCTTAGAATACGGGCGTTAGTCTAATTATTTTCATCCTTTTATTACTTTCTTAACGTACTGTGTTCATTCTAACCCACCCTGTCAACTATCCTTGTGCGAGTAAACTGGAGCACCCGGAAAATTTCGGCAGAGCGTTGAATGATTCTTTCATCATATGAGTCCGTATAGCGAGAATCAAACCCACGAACTCAGATCTAGAGGTGACAGGCGCTTGCTCTGACTATTACGCCACCGAAACCCCATTCAGCACAATTACTTATGGATGACCTTACTCGGTAAATATGCATGTTCAACAGTTTAGCAACTTACTCTGCTGCACAAGGCATGTATGTATCATCTGGAAGTTTCTTGCAGTAACCATGTTGATCGCTACGTGTGTTTAGCCTTTCGTAACAGGAATCATCCGCTTTGTAAGCACCTATTCAAGCACAAAACAACACTTAAAGTCCGTTCGAACCAGTAAGACATGTTGGTCTAGCAGCAATAAAGACGGGACGTTTTGATTGCCTTTTACCTAATCAATAATTCCGGAGTGGTCGGAAAGGCGAGAACGGGACAGGCGGACATACATGAAGCACAAAAGCAATTAAGTTTTAACAGGAAAATTAAACGGAAACCTACCGCCAGTCCAGAATTCAGTACATTGGTGATTATGAGTTCTACATTCCCCTTCGTAACAATAACCCTATAAAAAGAAATTGCCCATATAAAACACAGGGTTAAGCTACCCCAGCTTTGAACAACCAGCCCCTGACTTAGAAGACAAAATTTGCAAACAATGCCGGACCTCAGTACAGGGTAAACCATTCACAACGATCAGATCATCAGAGCACTGAAATGAAATAAAAAAGAGAAATGGAGTCAAACACAGAAAGCAGACATGGGTACATACGCAAGTATAGTATAAGGGAAGAGAGAGAGGAGTCAAAATGCATGTTTGCCATTTCTATTGTTCTTTGTGTACAAGGGGGAGGGAGGGGGTACAATTTTCAAAACTTTTTGCTTACGTACTAAATGTACCCCTCCTTTGCAAGAAGATTGAAGAACGTTCTTCAACTTTTCAGACATGGGTTATGGGACATGTAACATAAATACATTCAATTATGCTTTGTCGTCACACACATACGGCATAGTCGAATTCTGTTGGCAGAATTTTTGCTTAAATTCTTCGCTTCTTCTTCTCGTTCTTACAGTATCTCAAAAGAATCATCATACATTACAGTCTTAAAATAGCAAGTTGATTTCCCGTTTATTATCTTGTAGCGTAAATTTTTTCTTCCCTTAGCGTTTGCCATTTGACGTTTGAACACGAAGCTTAAACTCCCTAATGGCGTAACGTACAGTTAAATTTTCCTGTTTTACACACTTTGGAGGAACATTTGAAAAAAGCAAATTCAGGATCCAAGCAACTTTAAACACTTTTTTCAGGTTCTGATAGGAAGTATAATATCAACTTCCCTATATATAGAGCTTTGGTTCCAAAACTTAGACAGGTAATACCGTAGCACTTACCACTTCACTGGTTCCATTACAAAACTCCGGTACATCGCACGAATTTACAGCTTCACGACAAACTGTACCTCTAGAGATAAACTACGGCGAAAAAACAAATTTGAAGAGAGTCACTTTACAGTAGAGGCTAGAGTCAAGACCAACACGTTGGCTAATAAAGTTTAGGATACAAATAAGACCGTTCTTTGTACAAGTTTCCTGCCATATTAATCCAATACAAGATCAATCATTTCTAGTTACTGCACACAACAGTATATTCATTCCTTACCTGGCAGTTACTACAGCAAACTCCGTCAGCACATTGGGCTTCATCATTCAGCATACATGAAGTATAATTGCAGCAAGTGTCGTTAACACGTTCACAGTCCTGAAAAAGATTTCAAAATATTGTACTAGAATTCTATCTTTGGGAAACATGACTAGGAAACCATGTTTCCTGGTTTAATTTTCCACCTTTGGCTAGAATTCCACCTTCGGGAAACATGGCTAGGAGACTTTGTTTCCTGGTTTTCCACCTTTGGAAAACATGATTGTCCACGAAACATTGTTTCCTGGTTTGTCTACCTTTGGGAAACATGGCTGGGGAATAGTTAAGTTTAATTTCACCTCTTGTGTACCACAGTCACATTCTTCTCCATCCTCTATGAAACCATTGCCACAGGCTGCGTCTGTTGCCAACTGGAATAAAAAGGAATATATAAATCTCACTGGAATGTGGACCCGTACACAAAGCCCAGTTATAGGCAGATTTACTAATCATAGAAAATACACCAGGTGATAGTCAACATGTAACTAACTATTAGTTGCTTTGCTTCTTTTGCTTAACCGCGAACTGGATAGCGGATATTTTACAATGTACCTTTGTTGGTTGGTTAAAGAGACAATGTCCAACATTTTCCAAAAGCAGATCATTAAGATCATTAATGCTACACTGGGAAAATTCCTCTGGTGGTGTGAAGCTAAAATATTTAAAATATAGTTTGAGAAAAGATATGAAAAGTTCTTCCGTATATTTTAAGAATGTAATGGAAGGGGAAATCTTTGCGTTCGCATGATTCACTTCAGCACGAAAATAAACAGGGAATTCTGGCATCTTCTGGGATCATGTTGATTTGTATCTTCTGGCTAACGAAGGGCCTTCGAAATCTGCTGCCGAAATTGCAAGTTTAAAGATCTTAATGGCAAAACAAGTCACCTTAGGACAGCATTCATAACACACCCATTTGATGCTGGACATTGCGTGCAACCTTAAGGAGATAAAAATAGTATAACAGCAACTGTGAAATGGTGGTGTAGAAGAAGATGATACTGAATAGCAATAACAATAATTGATAAAAAATAAAGAAAAATTAACTTACTGTCATCGTGTTGAAGACCAAAGTTGTGTCCCATTTCATGTGCCATCACAGAACCCGTGAATGCTGCATTAGAATTCGCATCCTATAAGATACAAATGAAAACATCATCATTACCACTGTAAAGCTTCTCAACGTTTCTGTGATCACAGTATGAAGTTTGCATCGGTAAATTCTAAGTTTGGAAGGATTTGTAAGAATGTTTGGAGGGAAATGACTCAGCGTTTAACAAGGAGTTACTTCCCTCAAACATTTCTTACAAATAAGTTTAAAATTTACCGATGCACAATTCCTACTGTGTTCACAGAAACTTTGATCAGTGTAAACCAGGCTTAACATTCGGGAACAGTCAGCATGTTTCAAATGTCATTGTGAGTGAACTTTATTTAAACACAAAAGCCTGTCATCCAAACGAATATAATCTTCCCAGGTGCCGTGATCTGCATCTTCTCCTTGATTCCAATCACAATCCTATATTCTTATTATGCACTAAACATGACAAGAAACCATTCACCACTTACCGAATCAATACCAGTAGAACTAACCGGGTCACAGATTGTTTTTACATATGCCAACCCAGCCACGTTATTGTTATAGTCTGTTTGCCTGTAATGACATTACCAATGATTATACGAAACATTACACCTATAACAGCACACATATATGAATATATGGACATCACAGCTTAAAATCACATACGAAAGAAATTGAGCATTATCGTGATCCTTTGTTTCGTCATTAGCATCCAAGACATTGTTTTTGTAATCTCTGAAATTTGACAATGTCGCACTGGAATCCGTGACAACCGATATCTGATCACCACTTGTCCAGGTTTCAATCATAACCAAAGCAATACGGATATTATGCACTTTGTAGATCTAGAATAGATAATCAGTGGTGTTTTTTCGTGCATTCACAATGAGGTCTACATATACAGGCATGATCCGAGTAGCAAGCGTTACAGAAGAGCAGATGGCAACTTCACAACTCATGTTGACACTGATAGAAGGGGGGAAATTTTGTCGTCAGACGTTGCTCTCGAACGGCAAATGTGTATGTCGTAAAAAGTGAATGGGGAATCGTGTAAATGGGGACTACAACTCTTATTTCTATTTATTAGGCACCAACTACTACAACAAATAATGAAAATAATATCAATTTCTCACTCTGATAACTGCAGGTCCATTTGCTGCATGATAGTATTGAGTAAATCTACCTAGATGTAAACATAGACTCAAACTTACCGAGTCAACAACATTAGCTATACTGATAGCTCTGAGTTTAGTTTGGGCAATATCACTGCTGTAGTGTCGGAACTGTAAAAAGATTAAAACACATCTTTATTGCACTCCTTAAGAGGTAACGAGCACAGAATGACAGTCAAGGGAAGAAGTACAGTACAGAATAATCTTATTTGCACAAGCAAAAAATACATAATTACAAATTTTTTCCACACGTTATTAAGACAAAGTTAGCACAGGCACAAGGTATCTGAAGTGGCTTTAAAGCTAATCGAAGTCGGATAACCTTATTTAAGTATTCGAGCCACTAAAATCCTCCAACATCAGTCGACATTACCCAACACAATGTTCAAAACGACAAGATTGCATCCAACAATGTTTGGTGATGTTGGACCAACAATTGGCTCCGTGTGAACGGCCTTTAAGGATTTGTTTCATGCATCTTATTTCATTTATTTGCAAAGGCGAAATACTTACCTGGCTGTTATCATTCACTAAGATCAGTTCGACATATTTCGTTTCTGTCAAGACATCACGACGAGACTGGAAAAACACGTGAAAATTTTTATCATGATGTGGTTTCCAAACATTATGCTCATGACTTGTGATATAACCTTTATTAATTCTACTATAGATATAGCTCTATCAGTTCTAAACTGTTCTCCTTTTAGAGGTCCAGGAAAGGGATTCCTTATTGATCCGGTGTTACTACAGGAGAAAACCTAAACTGAACGAACTTTAGTTATATTGGATAGCTCAGCCAGTTTTATGTAAGAATAATCTCTTTGTTTCAGGTAAAGTAAAAACTGGATGTATCTCCTCGTACAAGCGAACGAGGTAAAATTATAGCCACACAAAACTGGAATTAAACTTCTATTTGAAGTTAGTACAGTATATGATCTTACTCTATGATGTTTATTTAGAGGAAACAGGTTCAAAAAATCGTTGCTACTTTTGTTCGTTTGAACGCCATCATGAGCTGAAAATAAAATATGATCAAATTGGTTTAAGCATGTCGTTATATATCGATTTATACTAAAAACTAACCCTTAGGCATTGTAAAAGAACTAACTCACAAACCCTCACCGATCTTTGTCAATTGGGTTGTAAAACGTGAAAAGGCTTTCCGTCCACTTGAAATAATGAAATCAATATATATCTTTTAACTTACGACATTGAAATTTCTTTCCCATAATATCATTCGGACTATAGATGATATGAGCGACCCTCTGCAAAACACAAATGATAATTTTCCACGTCAAGTACAATATAAGGCTACAAATACCACAATACAGCAAGGATAAAATGAAAGATATTAAAGTTGTACCTTTTGATCGTGGTCAAACAATGGTTGAATAAAGAAAGTCTCACCATTTCTTCTGAAGTAACCACTACAAAAACAAATCGCAAATAAGCTCTGGCCATTACTGGAGCTCACAGCTCAGAACTGTTAGAGCAGGAGCTATTCAGTATAGGTCCTTTCCTGAGGTAGCTCTGGATCAATAAGTGATGAATATAGTTCTACTAACAGTTTAGAACAGACAGAAATATCCAGTATAAAAATCAACTTACTGAAAACCTTCACATGTGGCCAGTGCAAGATTTGAATTCTCTTCACTCCGTACATGACCGTGGAAAAAACAGTCGTGTGTTCGCTACAAGAAGAAATAAAAGCCAAGAACATTAATGACCTGATACTACCCAATCACTCGCATCATGAATTTACAGATTTTTAGCAAACCTTTCTCAAAACAGTTTCTCCATTAGGAAGGTAATACCTCTCCTTATATCGGGGTGAAATCAAGTTTCTGTGAATAACAAGAAAGACTTTCAATTCAGTACAAACGCGGGATCTATTATGGCCAGCTATTGGCTATAATATATAAAAGATGAAAAGAATATATAAAGCATACCTGTTTGGAACAAGATCAAGGACTACGTTCTTCCCGTTATGCAGGAAAGATATACTTCTCTCAACGTTCTCATCCTGTAACATCGAAAATATATTTCAAGAAATATTGATAACAAAAACAAATTAAAGAATAACAGCCACAGCAAAAATATTTACCTGGCTGTAAAAATCTGGGAATTCATTGGCAGTAGGTGTTACATCTTCAGGATGGACAATTTCATATTTCCTTAATTTGTTCAGGAGTTCCTGGTCTTTGATATTTAGTTCATCGTATACGATATCAGGTATTTGTTTCACATCTGAGAAAATCAAGGAAGATTCTTCACTTGGAACTATCTTAACTATTTCATGTTCGTGCCAATTTAAGTACAAAAGGTGCTTTGCGGTTGGGTATAAAAAAATCTAAAAAAAAACCCCTCGACTTTGCCTTTGGTAAACAAAGAACGCCACGGGTGTTTGGCGAAATCGGGATTTAAGAATACCTTCACTAAAAGAACGCAAAACTAATTATTTCCAAGCCGACTTAAATTAAATCATAAGTTTCAATAAAATCCATAGCCTGCGAATACAGACGCCTCACATCGGGCGAAATGTACTGCTCCCTCGGGCAGTACATTTCGCCCGATGTGAGGCGTCTGTATTCGCAGGCTATAAAATCCACCCATTCAAACCCTATATAAGGTAATTAAGTATAGGATGCTGACGATCGAACTTCATTGAATTTCTTATAAATACAAAGTTGCACGTATACAACAACAATAGTCAATTTATAAAATTATGTCATTGCGAAACATCGCGAAAGGCAAACACACGACTATGAACAAGCTTTCGTTGATAGAGATGCAACTACCTTAAAAATATAAGAGTCAGACGAAGGGCCTTCGCTCGAAATGTCGAAATTCGCCTTATATTTTTCAGGTAGTTGCATTCCTAGCTCTAAAAAGTCAGAAAACTTGTTCACTTGGACTATATCAAAGAAATTATTTCGCTCTAAATTCGTTTGCCTTTGAACATTTGAGATGCTGTTCATGAATAAGACTGGCTAACCCGCCTCGCTGCTGAAATGCTTATATATAGTCAGGTATCTTTGAACTGTCTGTACCAGTGTAGGTAGTGCCAACAAACTTTCGGTGGTCAGGATATTAATTAGCAAGCAATGTTTTCTCGTCAAATATTAATGGTCATTTATTAGTTTGAATATACAGAATTAATCTTCTGTTAACTGCTTAACTATTAGAGGGTAAATAAAACTTCCAATTTACAAAACATCTTGTTTCTTACCCTGTTGAAATGAAGACGAAACCAGAAAGAGGATCAGAATGACAAGCATCTACATAAAAATTCAATTTAAACATAATGCACTATAGATGGTTGTCGAACATATGCCATGGAAACTTTGGACTGTTGCATTTGCTGCGCTTGCGTGTGTACATAAATGTTCCAATTGCCGATGGTACCATTCCGTACTTGCAGTTTCACCCAATGGTATTTCGTAACTTAACAACATTTTACAATAAAACTTAATCTAAAAAGCAATTAACTTTACACTTGTATAGTTGTATTGTTTAAGACAGGAAGATGAAATTCTTGTCTATACATGAAAAATAGGAGTCAAGATCTTCCTACTTTGCTAAACTGTGTTTTTGAACGTGTCTACAATAATACACTGAGTAACTCGAATTATCCCGTTTTGGTAATATACATGCAGATATAGTAGATTGAAAGAGAACACAAACATAGAGACCGCAAATATTATTAAAATATAATTATAATAAATTCATGTAACCTCATGAACTATCATCTAACTGTTTAAAATAAGAAAACATACACAAACCTGAAATTTTGGATCTAAGAAAATCATCTGCCTGGTTCTTCTGCTAAATGTTATATAATGTTTGAATGCCGGCAATATCTTGAATATGTTTGCCTACGTGCAACTGTACACAGTATGAACAATGTCAGTAATCAATGGTCCGTGCATTCATTTCAAAAATTTCAATAGAAACACACACTTTATGGTGACAGGGTTTCCAAAACCATTATTCAGCAATTGTTTGTTGCTAGGAGCAGTCGCGCGGGGGCTGACAAACAAGCAGAATCCATGCCAATGAAATTACGATGTCATTACTATACCCTTCCTGAAATGTTAAGAAAATAGGTTCAAGTAGTTTAATTTCATGGTAAAAACGCATACTTTGTTCTTAGAAAAGGGTATGGGAACAGATTGTTCTTTGCGCAGGAAGCAATTAAATGAGTTTAAGCCAGCATGATAGAGCCTGTGGGCGATACAGTTCATAACTGTGAAAAAAATTCATTTTGAAAAAAAAATGTCCATTTGGGTCTGTAATAGGAAACACACGAAATAATTGTTCTCATTGTAAAGTCAAACGAAATGATGGAAAAGGCATCGTTCTTGGGACAATTTGACTCATTTTGACGACTCTTGTACCATCGTTTTGACGTCACTTAACAGTATGTTGCTTTTTAGGTTCCCATGTCAAGTGGTCCTCAAATGAGGACAACATTTTCTAGTTTAAGGCCAATACGTGTGGTGTAATGTAGAAATGATTAAAAGAGGGCGCTTTTCATATAATGTCCAGACTGATCAGAGTAGAATTTCGTTCCTATAGTATGAAAGATCTGGTACAGGTTTGAAAATCTTTGAGAATCTGGCCAAAACAGACCTTCTGTTGCCGTGTTGGTTTGGTCCAAATTTTCCGGCAGGTCCGAACCACAAATGTTTTGTATTCCACTTAAGAATTTGATCGATTTGGTCAGATTGCAGCTGCCCTGAAAATACTTTGGTCTTTACATAACAATATCTAGAGGGCAAGAAAAATGGCGTGCTTTGTCCCATGGCTCTCCATGCTCTTCAGTGGCTTATTGTTCTCGAGTATTTTTAGTCAGCTCATGCAACGAGCCTGTGAAAAGTGTCCAAAGTTACTGTGCATCTACACCGGCAAACGAAACATGCCGCGAACATGGAATTTATTAACAATGATTTGCTCGTTACATGCAGATTATGACGATGAAAAAGCAAAAACATTTGGACTTGAAGCAAAGCGTGGTGAAATTAATGAGAGGCATGATGCAACAGGTTGAAAAAATTGAAAAATTTGCACAAAAATTACATGCGTTCTTGAAAAATGATGATGCAACAGCCGTGGAAGGATATATAAAGACATATCCAAATTGACTTGCGCAAAGCTATCTCGTATAGTCTAGATTTTTACCACAATTTTAACACCGATAAAGGATAAAGGAAATCAACTACACACAAAAAAATTCGTATGAAACTTTCCCGTGAAGAACGTTTTGTGAAGAATATTCACTTGAGGCAAATAACCGCAGGTACGTACTCTTTAAAGTCCATAAAATAAGAAGGTTATAGGGAACTCGATGGAGACATAATATACCTCATGATCATTATCTATGTTTTCTCTTGGTTTATGCAAGGAATGGTCGGTTCATCGTCACGTGTGTATTATATTTTCACCAGAGAAACCAATAGCAACGTTTTCATTCAACCATTGTGTAATATCACGACTGGGTAATTAAACCAACACACTGCTATTGGTTGTTTGGGTGAAAAAACAATACACACGTGACGATGAACCGACCATTTTTTTCATAAACCAAGACAAAAACATAGATGAGGTCTATTATGTTTCCATAAAGTTCCCTATCCTTCTTAATTATTCTATTGACTATGGTCAAACTGAAACTATGATATGTATTTATTATAAGTAATAGCATAATCATGCGGCTTTCTGTCTAACAAGAAAGCTCATATTGTATAGCTATAGATTATTATTTAAGTAATTTATTTAATTAATCTGTTTTCATATTGTTTAGTAATTCTATTCAAGCGCTCTTCCCACGTAATTTTAAGCCACAATATTTCGATGATTTCTATCTCATTAATAATTCATAAGCTTATTGGCAAATCATGTCAACCATGATATGTCACGTGCAGTGGCTTTAAACCTGATAAAACACTCCTAATTAGTATTCTTTATATAAAGAATACTAATAAGGCAGTATATATTGTAGTGGTGTCCTCATTAGTATTTTTTATATAAAGAATACTAATAAGGCAGTATATCTATTGAATTTGTAGTCGTGTTTGAAGCCGTTTAATAAACTCGCAGGTCGTGTTTTATTAGGTCTAAAGCCACTCGCGCTGCGCGCTCGTGTCTTTAAATCTAATAAAACACTCCTACGCGTGCTTTAAATAGTACATAGAGTAGTGCGGTAGTATCACGACTATATATTTGCATATTAGTTAAAAAATATATAAAATATAGAAAATTATAAGAAATACATAATAATATATAAGCAATGCCAGCTTGCTTAAGTATTACAGAGATATGACTGTGCATGGTTCATAAATATTATCGGTGTTTTAATCATTAAAAATAGCATCTCGTTCGTAATAATAGAACCTCATCATGTTTGATCTATCACCAGGTCGAGACGGTGTAGTTATTGTATTATACATACTATAAGAATTTTTTTCCACTGATCTTGGTGGTGTTTTTGGTGTAGTGTATCTAAGGAGGAATGTTTTAATTCACGTTAGTTCCATTGTACCAATTTGGTCCCTCTTAAACTTGATCTCCCCCCCCTCGCTTTCCCTGTTTCCTAGGATATTTGGCCTCACTGATCAGGAAACTAGGGGGGGGGGGCGAATATCAGTGGTCTCGTTCCCCACGCGGACATATTTCCTTCGGAATTTGGCAACTCAGATGATCAAAGGTTTGGTCGAAAACGTTTACTTACATTTTGACCAATGCTGCAATCAACAAACAGGTCGCAATAAGGATCGACACTGGAAGAACAATCATGACTGCCTGTATTAAATATTTCACCGTTTTCACATCTTCTTTCAAAACTATTTAAAAACAACAAATTCACTGCATATTTCACTCAACATCCAACGTACCCAGAAAGAACAAAAAAATTCTAAAAATGGACCTACCAAAAAAACTTGAATCGTCATCTAAGAAAAAATAAAAAGTATGATTGATTTATAATGATTGCAATCGGTGAATGACTGGTGGACTAAACTAACTAACTAACTAGTCACAGAGCTACCAACCAACTGGCGGACTGATTCCCCGACCGACTTACCAAATGACCGACTGAATGATAACAATAGTTAAAATTTACCTGAAGGCAAGGGAACGACTGAAGACACATTAAGATCCCCAAACGTTCCATTTGAAACGGCTTGTTCAATCTCTTCTAGCGGTGCTGTTGTTGGCTCCTTGAAAAGTACTGTCACATTTGCATTAACGCTGCCAGGACTGAATAAATACATAAATAAATAAATTATACATGCATGGACAGATAGGTTGATAACCAACCAACCAACCGATATCTGGCTCCATGGTTCGCTAGTAGGCTGACCGAGGCTTGCTGGCTGCCAGGCTGACCGACCGACAACTGCCCGCATGGCTTGCAGATCTCGCTGCATGGCAGGCAATCTAACTGCCGGCATCTGGCTGGTTGGCAGGCTGGATAAAAGATGAAAAGCTGTATTTACCTGAATCCGTGGACGATAATACCAATATATTGCGGATTATTACTATAGGCTCTGTTACACTATAAAAAATATGAGAGGGATAAAAATATATGCGTGAAAACTGCGAAGGATGCCACAAGAGTTATGGTTTGATCACAGGGATGTAAACCTTCTTGGTTCGGTGTTACTTCAGGAAGAAACCAGAAGTGGAAAAAAATTCTGATGGAAGAAAATTCTAGCTGTCAGAAATATACAGCTATTTCAATTAAGGTTGTCCCCCGAGCAAAGCCGAAAAGTCGAATACGAGCGCGAAAGGCTGCTGGGAATCGCTAAAAAATTCATTCATTTATTAGCGAATACCAGCAGCCTTTCGCGCTCGTATTCGACTTTTCCGCTTTGCTCGGGAGACAACCTTAATTGAAATAGCTGTATACAGCAGGTTGTAGTTTATAGATTTGAAACTGGATTATTTGGAATAATTTTGAACGTATTAAATTTCATCAATTAAGTTTCTGTTTTTGATGCAATCTGCAAAATATACAAAACGACGACCCACCGCACTTCTTAGTCTGGTTCGATAGAGTATGAACGTCACACTATATCTGTCATACAAATCTATTGTAAAAATGGCGACGATTCTCAACCGACAACGATATCCCACACCTTGAGATAAAAAGCGAGAAAAAAAACCCAGAATAATTTTTGAGATTGCGTTTCATATATCAACTATGCAACAGTACTACGAGCAACAATGTTATTGCAATTTGCAACCAGGCTTTAAATTACTAAAGTCCGCATACGTCTGATGCAGATCAGCGCATTGAGTTGGAGAATTTTGTTATTTACCTGGTCTGCAGGTATAGGAACCAGCGGTGTTCTGACATTTATATCCTGCTTTACAAATACCAGAATCCTCCAGGCACTCGTCAGCATCTACAAAGCAACGTAAGAAATTGGCAAAGAATACATAGTTGATACTATAGAAACAAACCATCATAGACTGACACTAGATTTCAAAAATTAATTTTTCATCAAGTGATTTGACTCCATTAACAACACTTCTATAATATTACTCACCAAAACAATTTTCCGTGCCGTCTCCGCTGTAGCCAGATCTACAAGTGCATGTATGTGAGGTTGCCGTATCTTGACATATGGCTTTGGAATGACATGGAAATGAATTACATTTCACAGCTAGAGAAAAAGAGATGAAATAAAAGATACGTCTCAAAGGCAAAAACAGGATGAATTATTCAAAACACTTCTTATTTTGTAGCATATAGTTTTCGATATAAACTATAATAATAATAATAATTTATTAATTTATAAAGCGATAAAACTATAAATATTCTAAAGCGCTATCATTACAAATTCAAATAAAATGTTATAAAGTATAAGATGATACCTATATATACATGTTTAAAATTTACTATTATATTTAAAGATAAAATGCCTTTTTAAAAAGAAAGGTCTTAAGTCTGTTTTTAAAAGTTTCCACTGTTGACGCCTCACGAATGTCAGCGAGAAGTTCAAATTTACTATTATATTTAAAGATAAAATGCCTTTCTAAAAAGAAAGGTCTTAAGTCTGCTTTTAAAAGTTTCCACGATTGACGCTTCACGAATGTCAGCGGGAAGTTCATTCCACAAAAATGGACCAGCCTTGGCAAAAGCTCTGTCGCCAAGCGTTTTCCTCATTGTCTTAGGAACTATTAGCAAATTTTGCTCATTCGAGCGCAGGCTGTAGCAACCAATATGCTTAGGTGTCAGAAGGTCTGAGATATAAGGCGGTGCATTAGCATGAAGAGCCTTGTACACCAGCAACAAAATCTTGAAAATCACCCGATACCGTACAGGAAGCCAATGAAGGCCAATCAAAACGGGAGTAATATGATCGAATTTGGGGATTAAACAGACCACACGTGCTGCAGCATTGAGAACTCTTTGTAACCTATCATATTGAGACTGTAGGAGACCATAAAACAATGAGTTACAGTAGTCCAGGTGTGAAGTAACAAAAGCATGAACCAAAATCTTTGTTGTATCTTCTGAAAGGAATTTCCTTATCTGCCGGATATTATAGAGGCTGCGAAACGCCTTACTACACACTTTTCCGATGTGAATATCCATCGACATATGTGAATCAAACCACATTCCGAGGCTTTGAACCACCTCCACAGGCTCGATCGTAGATTCACCAACTGTAATTTCATTGATGTTAATCTTTGACATTTGCTGCTTTGAACCGATGATAATAAATTCAGTCTTGGAATCATTTATCAAGAGACGGTTAGAAAGCATCGAGGCACGAATGTCAGTAATCATTGCTTTACTTTTAATGTACTTAGATTGCAGAGGCAACATCCACATCATCTGAAGCGCTACACAGAACTGACCAGTTTGAAAAAAAGGCAAAAAAGGGCTAGGGAGTCAGAGCCATGTACATCAAGTAACCCACCAGCAAAGCAGTTACGTGTTTATGAGTGTAAAACCAACACAGTGTCGCAAAAAGAAAGTGGACAGGCTTATACTAAATTTCATCACTGAGGGCTTGCAGCCTTTCAGTATTGTTGGCTTGTCTGCATTCAAAGAACTGGTGACCAGCCTTTCCCCTGGAAAGACGGTAATGTGTCGTGAAACTGTGAAAAATCGTCTGAAAATTTGTGCTACAGACATGAAGGACCACCTTTGTGAAACCTTCGAGTCTGTCATGACTGTCGCAACAACCACAGATTGTTGGTCAGCCAGGGGGAAATCGTACATTGGTGTCACTGCCCATTGAATCAACGCAGATAACATGAAGAGAATTTCTGCAGCGTTAGCTTGTCAGCGGCTTAAAGGATCGCACACATTTGATGTCCTTGCAAGTGCCCTTGAAAACATCCACAATGACTATGGTATCGGAAACAAGATATGCAAGACCACCACAGACAATGGTTCTA